TCTCTCTGTTTTATTTGTAAAGTACCTGAAACTTTACAGTTTTAGTTTTTTTTGGGTTTCCTAGTGAGTTTACTAATTAGATTTTATTGCGTGGCGCGAATCGCTTTGTCGCCGGCGGCAAGTGTGAATAATTCCTTTTTTTATGGTGAGAACTGTCCTCAGGCCTAACACTTATAATTTTTTTTATTTTTATTTTTAGATGAGCATAGACATGGTCGAAATCATTGATTCGTAAAATGTGAGCTGGTCGAGAAATGTGATTTCAAACGTGGAATATATTTGAAGAATACTTCCGATAAGGCTGCTTAATTATCGGCGAAATTTGGTTGGTATGTAAGAGAAATATGTGTGATTCTTGCATTGGTAGAAATCATATGAATATATATAAATATGTGTCTCGATATGACAATAGAGGCATTTAGAATATCTGGCGGAAATATCTGATACTCATATAAATATGAATGATTAAATATGACCACATCAAAGTGATAATAAATTTAAAATACTTATATGAGATTGCCTAGGCTATTCACATTAGCATTTCTCCATAATATAATTATTATTATTCCAAATAAGCTTTTAAAATCTAACAAACAATATATAAAAAGTACATCAGAAATGCTATCTCAATTGTCTTGGCAAAATTATTAATATAAGCCTGCAATGAAATCATGTTTAAATCAAGATTAGACATTTATACGAACAAAAAACTCAACTCAATTCAAATTCAAATTACAAAAGAGGTAAAAAACAATAAACAATTTATGAAAAATATATTTTATCGGTTGTTGGTTGTTCTGTAATTTAGAAGGAGCACAGATACTTAACTGCTTAGTACTTTCAATTAACTTAGTCGTCAGCCTGGAAGCCAGCAGCAGCTTCTGTTATTGCCACGCGCTCTCCCTCTCGCTCTCTCCCAGTCCCAGTCTCACTCTCTCCATCTCTGTCTCTCATTGGCTGAAGGGTCAAACGGTGAGTGCAACGCATTATGAATGCGGGTAGCTAACTGCTTTTGGCGATAGCAGCCTTCAAATTGTGGGAGAAATTTGTATAATACTCAATACAAACAACGCAACGCACAGCACACAGTACACAGTATGTAATTCAATGCCATAATTTCAACAAAAACCAAAACAAAATAATATGGACGAGAAATCGTGTGTATGAATTAAATGGCAAAAACAAATTAGACAAAGATGCGCGTGGGAAATTATGAAAATGCATATTTAACAAATACCAAATACCAATTCACACGTAATCCCACATATTGAATTCGTTGTTCGCACTGGACAATGGTTAGCACGTAAGCCCATTAGACCCGAAGACCACAACAACACCTGACCAACGATTGCCTCCGACATGGGATTAGTCAGCCAAGCTACTTAGCAGCCACTTGTCCGAGCGATCAGTCCACAAAACACACATTTCCATTTGCTGTTTGTCGAAACATTTCAATTCTCACTCTGGGCTCGAGCGGGTCTGGCTGGCTATCGTTGGGCAGCGATCTCGATCTGTTGTCCCCGCACCGCAGGACACTCGCGGCGCTCGCTCGTCCAAGCCGAGGACTCACGCAGAGTGTGAAAGGTATTATCAGTTTGACTCGATCTGGCATGTGTGTGTGTGTGTGTGTGTGTGTGTTAGTTTTATATAGTTATATAGTTGTTGCCGTTTATGTTTTGCTGCTTTTCATTTATCAGTTTTGTGGAAATGCCCGATGAACAATGAGAAATTATGAGACTTGCTTTAAATCATTTATATACCCATTGGCCATAAGCCAGTGAGGCCCAAGCAATCAGTCGCCTCAACTGCGAGGGTTGCTTTAACTTGCTCATTGGCCTTATCTGGCTGCACGGATCTTTGGGCTATTTGGATTTTCATGTTGTCGCCGTTTGCCAAATGAATGATTTCCTATATGCGGTTTTAATTGCGGCCAACAGTCGCTGATCATGCAGACCTATACATATATTTATATATATATATATATGGTGGAAAGTAAAGTTAATTAACTGCGAATTGTTATTCGGCTGTTTGTTAGATGCTGCCTGCTCGATAAGCCAAGGCAAACAACTTTCTATTGAGGCAGCGAACACGAAACGGACGAGGGTAAAATATACCTAATATAAATAAATGATCATGTAATCACACAGTTACCCCAAAAGTCAATAGGTTGTGCTCAAAATATCTATAATGTTAAGTTATTTACTGGTAAGATTAAACTTGACAATCTTATATTATGTAAAAACTAAGAGATATGAAAAAATATATAATCCTGTAAAGGCAGAGCTATATGCATAAGATCCATCTATTTAACATCAAGTATTATTGATAGACATATAGCATAATTATTCTTAAAGTTTAATTTATACAATTATTATTTTAAATTGTTATTCCAATATTAGATTTAATGCGTGTTTATATATGTAATGTATTTCATTATATTTTATAATATAAATAAGAGTATTATACCCACTATCAGAATATATGTATTTATAGATATACATATATAAAGTGAAGAAAGTCAGCAGCACAAAATATATTTTTCTGTTGAAAACTATGGAAAAGAAATGAAATATTTATACTTTTCTATATGATAATGCCAAACAACTGGTTTCCAACTTTCGCATACGGAGTTGCCTTTCTTCACCTAAACCCGGATCCCTTCACTATCACAAAACCGCAGTCAATCCGTTTTAGGGCGTTACTTCCCACGAGGAGCGGAGAAATTGTCGAATTTACGATGACATTTATGCGTATTTTTTGGTTAAAATTTAATGGGTCCGTCACGGCGAAACTGTGAATTGGAAAAAGAGTTTCCGCCACCCCGGGGAGAATGTCAAATAAATTTGAGTGGAGTTGAGTTGAGTGAAATGTCGCAATCAGAAATGTTGGCATTTTTCGAATCGCAATTGAAATCGAACACTTAATTTGAGGCATCATTAAAGTGCCACACCCACTTGAAAGCCGCTGCAATTGTTGTTGCCAGGTAGATCGGCCAATGATGATCTGTTTGTCGATCTGGGTCTTTCACATACATACATTATATGCAACGGCATGACTTTGCTTAGCGAGTCAACGCCCCAGAGGCGCACCCCTCGCCACTCTGTAATCCTTTAAGGTCCTAAGTCCGTATCGCGTGCTAGGCGCTCAATCTCCGAAGAGAACAAACGTCCCAGGCAAGGAGCCGGGCACCGCGGGTTGCTCATTCAGTTGTTTGTGACGTGTCATAATTGCACGATTTTTTCTTATTCTTCTGCTTGTCGGGGAAGTGTGAAAATTATGGGGTTTACCCGGAGTCGCGACACAACCCTTCAGCAGTCAGCGTTGCCAGTCTTAATGATTATGTTTGTTTGCTTTATCTTTGGCTTAAGATCGCCGAAATTTGTTTGCTAACTTTATGGCATATGTCTGAGTTATGGCATTTGCCTTGGGTTTCCATAGAACATGCACACACATATCCTTCTGGCTTTTTTGGGGGTTGTTTTACTCCTCCTGCTTCTTATTATGTTTTTTTTTTTTTTTTGCGTGCTAAATTGTGTCTTATGATTTTCTTACTGATAACGTCAGAGTTTTTTTTCGCAAATGTTTAAAACTTATCACTGAGCAGATCGTGAGAAGTAATTCCGTTGGATTTTTGAGTATTTGGGCAAGACCATCTCGACTTATTAGCCAACAAGATTAAATAACGGCCATATTAATTCGAATTTAATAAATAATTGGAAAGCCAAGAAAAATAAAATTGCCTGCGGTGTTCCCTGAAGAAAATATTTATTTACTTAATTATTTATTTGAAAGCCATATTCGTTATTATTAAATTAATTATTATACAAGCTGTAAGCAATACACACTTATTTATTATACCAAGGAGAGAGTCCACTTTTTCTTTCCTTATCAAATAAATATATTGTTGCACAAATTACATTTTTTGTTTTTAATTGTGAGAATTCTGTGTTGCATTTAGCCAAATTGAATTAAAAGGCGTTTCTGTCACTTGAGTTGATTTTTTGATTTTATATTGAATTAAAAATCTGCTTTATTATCTCGTCTAATTGATATTACCTTAGTTGTAATATTTATTATATCCACCACATTCCCCTTAACTGTATTTACATTCACATTAAAAGCCGCTTTGGTTGCCAACTTCAATACAAAACTAAACCGCAATCGCACAGCTGCTCGGCTTGTGCTCCTGCTCCAGGATCTGTTAATGTTCCTGCTTATATTGCTGCTCCTTCTGCTGTTCCAGGTGCCTGGTAATTCACAATTGTTGTTACTTTTTTTTGTTGCCTTTTTTGCCCAGACTTAATTAGCTTTGACGACTGCCTGCCATAATAAAATTACCCACCGATGTTGCCCCAAACTCGGCCCGACGCGTGCCAATTCCAATGTGTGGAGGCAGTGGAGGCAGCGGAGGGTTGGCAGAAACAGTCCACGCGCAGGTGTGCCAATGCGTGAGAGGAGCACAACACCAGCGCTGCAACGGAGAATCGATTGCTCCAGCGCCAGCTGCTACCAGCTACTGGCTGTCCAATCAAACCCGGGCAGAGCCAGCCGTATGACGACGAGTGACACGCACACATATGTCTGAGTGGGATTCCAGTAGATATGCGAGAAAGAGAGTGCTTGTGTTTAGTATCTGACGGATAACTTTTGCTGCTGTTGCTGCTGCTGCATATGGATAAAATGGATAAACCGGATAAACTGGAAAGCAAACCAATGAGAGCGCAACAACCACCACCGCGCTGCGCCGCTAGCGTCGTAGACTGACGCTTCGGTCAAAAAGGAACTTAATGTGGTGTTCGGCACAGCCAAAGACAGTCAACATTGCGCAGCCGTTGTGAATGGACGTCGAAAACGCGCCGGAAGCACAAAAGTGAGAGCAATAGACAATTCTACGAGAAAGTGCAGTGTTTGTGAATGTGTGTGTGTGTGTGTGTGACTCGAGAAACAAGCACAACATACCCAAAAAAAATAAAAAACAGTTAAAGCAAAATTAGTTAACAATGGTCTTGAACAGTTTGCGACCACTTTGTCAGCCGAGTCCGGCGCCAAGTCCGCCAGCGACCAAGTCTCGCATCCAAATCGAATGGGATATCAACGATACTGTGGTGCCGTCGGTCAGCGAATACGATGAGTTCAACGATTGGGCCAATGGCCATTGCCGCTTGATTTACGGGTCGCACAGCGAGGATGCCAAGAAGCATGCCAGTGGCTGGGCGATGCGCAACACCAACAATCACAATGTCAACATACTGAAGAAGAGCTGCCTGGGCGTCCTCCTCTGCAATGCCAAGTGCCGGCTGCCCAACGGCGCCAGCGTTCATCTGCGTCCCGCCATTTGTGACAAGGCGCGACGCAAACAGCAAGGCAAACAGTGCCCCAATAGGTAAGTTGCCCCCAGCTAATCGCGCTAACAACAGCTTACCTAATCCCATATGCAATTCTTGTAGGAACTGCAATGGACGCTTGGAGATACAGCCGTGCCGCGGTCACTGCGGCTATCCGGTCACCCACTTTTGGCGTCGTGCCGGCAACGCCATCTATTTCCAGGCGAAGGGCACACACGATCATGCCCGGCCGGAGGCGAAGGGTTCGACGGAGGCGCGTCGCTTGCTCGCCGGTGGCAGGCGTGTCCGCAGTCTGGCAGTGATTCTTGCACGCGATGCGGCGCTCAGCGATAAGTTGTGCAGTCTGAGAACCAACAAGCGGCAGGCCAAGGCAGTTGGAGCCCAAGAGAATCCCACCAAGCGCAGCAAGCAACGCTCCACAAATGCGGATCAGCTGCTCCTTCAAGCCAGCCCAGAGCTTACTGGCTATCAGAGTCCAAGCAGCAATCCACCAGCAACAACAGCAACAGCAACAACAACAGCTGCAGTCTTCAATCAGAGCCAGGCACAGGCTAGCTACCTTAATCCACAGTGGAGCACCACCGAATCCTACTATCCGCCGGATGCAACATTGGGCTACACCAACAACATTTATGGCCACGATATGTTGCACTCGCCGCTCTCCTCCTCCAACAGCTCCACAGCCAGCTACTACACTGCTCACACAGAGGTGCAACAGCAACAGCAACAACAGCAACAACAACAGCAGCAACAGCAACAACAACAGTTGCAACAACAGTCGCTGCCCCAAGGCAACAACTATGAGCAGCAACAGGCAACAACAGGCACAACAACATCTACGTCCGGCTATCCAGCGAGTGGTAATCTTAAATACGAGAGCTGGGACGATACATCCAGCTTAACCAGTAGCTCTGGCTACAGCTCCGAGGACTATAGCTATTTCAATGGCTATGTGCCGCAGACTTTGGATATGAGTGGCAGCTCCAATGCCAGTCCCGAAGGCTTCTATACGCCACACTCGGAAATCTTTAATGTCTTCGATCCGAACATCAGTGGCACGGGTCCCTCGACAGTGGAGCTCTTGTACGATGAAGCCACTGCTTATCGCAAGCAGCAGCAGCAGCAGCAGACGTTGCAACATCAGCAGCAATCCTTCCCCGTCTCCTATCAACAACAGCAGCAGCAACCACATCAGACTGCTGATTATTATTATAGCAACACGGGCGTGGATAACGTGTGGAATATACAAATGGACGCGAGTGTGGCTACAGCTGCCTACCCAGGCACAAGCAGCCTGGTGGACTCTGGAGGCGTTGGTGTTTACTATTAATCCTCATCGATCTCAATATCAGAAGAAGAAAACAAAAACACTCAAGCGTTGTTCTAGTCTCTAATTGAATCCACATCTCGCCTCAGCAACTCAAAGTTATCTACATATGTTCGACACACCACCCATACCACCAACCCCACCCAAACCACCACCAACCACCCCCAAATCCCCACCTAGCTTGCTTGTTGTTGGTTAATTTTTTGTGTATTTACAAAACTCTTTCATGTTTCTACATAGCTCTTAGGTCATTGAGTTCATTTGTTTCCCAGCTATTCCAAAGTTTTAACTTAAGTGCATATATATATATATCTATAAGTATTTACTCTATGTTAGTTATTTAATCGACAAAAAACCGAATAATTAAAAAAAAACGCAAAAACCCACCTATTTATGAATTTTGTAATAAAGACTTCAGATTTATTTAAAACAGTTTTATTTCCTTAAAACCCTCTTCGAAAGTAGTACAACTTGATGATTTTTGGTATCAGTAATTTACGCTTACAAAATTGGAAATTATGATAGATATAGGATATAGATTACTATAGTAATCTACCCTTCACATTTGACTACTTCTTTTCGTTTTTTGGCTGCTACCGGAAGTCTACCAATTCTCCTCTATATTCTTCTATATTCAACATCTTAATTATATATATTTTAAATGGATAATATTTAAAAGATTTTATTTTAAATTTATTAATTTTAAGGGTGTATTCTCTAGATGCCTACTATGAATGAAATCTTTATTACTTAGTCCTTATAGTCCTCATCCTCATCCTGCGACCAACTATTCCGATGTGTATCATCGGTGCTCCGTTCACCAAGAATGAAGCTGGATTGGACAGATATTGCATCGCCTGAAGCGAAAAGAGTTAGCTCACCATTTTCTAAAGAAGAATTCTGATCGACTTGTTGGCACATCTGATAAAATGTGTTCAGCGCATTTAGAAAATTATTTTGATATTGTTGAGGATCGGGGGTCGCTCTTTGGAATTCAGAAAGCATCAAGCCTTCGTCACATTCTGTCACGACTTGGTCCGGCTTTAAAGTATTCGATGCAGTTCTGGCGATGATTAAACTTTTGGCAGAGCTGATTGGTAGAGCTGCGGTGGATCCATCTCTGGTCGAAGGTCCTGTAGTCAATGGAAGAGCTCCGTTTATGCTCTCAGTGGACGATGGGACATTGCGTTGCTCCACGCTTTCAGGAGCTGGCTTCATCACATCCATTTCCCTCAATAGACGACACCTATGGCATTTGAGTGAATCCACAGACTCACTTCGTACTCTGGAATTTCGTACAGTTCGCTTACGAGCGGGCCGTTTACCACTTTTCCGGCTGTGATTTCGAGGCAATAGTGATTGATCCGAAGTCTCGAACTCATCAATGGCTGACTGATACTCCGACAATTTATTCAGCTTGATTTTAGGCAGTTTCTTCACATTATGATTAAGCTGTTCCACGGCTCTTTTGAATTTGTGCAGCAGCCCAAAAATATTGGCATCGGTATTACGAGTATTTGAAATAGATTCCCGAAGTTTTTTCTGGCTTTTATGGCTTTTGCGTTTCAACTTTTGCTTGACCTGAGTTTTACGGTATTTTCCCATCTTGAATAAAAAATATATATATTATGGAACTAAATATCTGTCTATGAAGTATTTTGATGTTTTAGTTTTTATGCTTTCGCTGTAGCAGTCTAAAAACAAGTGAAATATTTCAACAGTTCGATTTGGCAGGAACAATATAAAGAACTATAAACTGAAGGCGCTCTACGATAACAAATAAAGACGTTTATTGACATATGATTTTTGGCTTCGAAATAAGTTTTGACTTCATCTTAGTTAACTGCAGCAAAAGAAAGTTATAATGAGAGTTTAATCAAGACCCTAAATGCTTACAGTTGAAATGCTTACAGACTCAACTAATTAAATCGATCAGGAATATTTATACTTCAGCTCCGGCATTCATACTATAATTCTATAATTCTAATATTGTCCAATATGGAAATGTATCCAGTAAAGATATATATTTATCTATAAATATATATATGCATTTGTATTGAGCTCTGAAATATGTTTGATTTGACAAGCCCGCTGTTCTTAATCGGTCGTTGAACAGCCAGCATCGAAAGATTGTTCGATTTTTGTGTATGCAACTCAAGTGTGACTTTTGACGCATCCTGTCATGGGGCAGGCATGTCCATCAGGAATCGCAGCTGCAGTGGTGCTGCTGCTGCTGCAAAAAAAAACGATTAACTATTGAATTTATGATACGTGGCAAAAGCTGTACGCATTAAATGTCAAATGTTGCGACATTAAAAACCCACAACAATGTGCCGAAATACTCATCTGAAACTATTTAGCGTGGCCACTTCAAAGGACACGCCACAAAGAGCATGTTGCCACAAAACAAACGAGGCGCGCTTAATGCGCACTTGAATGACTCCTGGACGCATGCGCAGCTACAAATGACCCTAACAATTCGAGTGAGTTTTCGAGGCGGGGTGGGTCAGCGTGAAAATTGCCGGAAAAAAGGTGACAACAAAGAGCAGAGCAGAGAAAAATAGTTCATTTTACTTTTGTTTGCGACAAATACAAAAGATTTTATTTTAGTTTTACTTTCAATTCGTGTTAAACACTTTAACTTAAAATAAATTCATGTTTATGTTTTAGAATGCAATAAATAATATATTAAAAATTAGTATAATATATAAATTCAAATATCCAATAATTACCTTTCCAAATAACTAAAAATTAGATAAGTTTAAAAAACAGATTTTTTGATTTCCCAAAGAGCCGTTTTTTTCTACCTTTTCCGTTTCACAAAATGACAAAAACCCCCTCTCAAAATGCTCATGAAGACATCATATTTTTTATAAGCCAGAAGTGCCTAAATATTTAAACCACTCAAATGCCATTTTTTTTTTTAAACAATTACAGAGCCTAGACAAAGGTGCAATTGCCTGTCAACTATTTAAAACTATAAAGCAATTTTTTTTTGTATATGTGTCGAGTCTTTTTTTATGCTAAGCTGATTATAAATAATTAAAAAAAGAAAAAAAGCTCGAAAGGGTTTCCCAAGCCTGACCCTAATGAGGGTTTGAGGGCGACCATAAACAAAACGCCCATTAGTTGTCATGTCGAGCGTGTGCAACTCGCGACTCGACGCGTGCGACCTTCAAGGACATGCAAGGATATGTCGGAATGGAAGTGGATGTGAGATGACTTTGTTTTTAAGCAATATTTGCATACATAATTATGAGTGCAGCTACCCCCGTGCAGCATCTAAAATGAAAACATTTATGTTTTGATTTCATTTATGTTAATTTCCAACCATAAATCACACAACCCGAAGCGTGTGCTTCCTGTCGCATTCAGCAGGGCTTACAATATGTTTTTTTTTTTTTTTTTCATCTTGTTGTTGTGTTTGATTAGCCAATGGCAAATAAAATAGATGCCAGTCGTATGCAAATCCAATGTTCTGACTTTGCCACTGCTCTTTTTCGGTTGTTATCCCTTTTGCATTGGGTGCCGAGCATTATGCAAATGTTCTTCATCCTTGATCCTTTTTGTAATTCAATATGCGCGTGAATTGCCCGCGACTTGGCAGAATTGATCTTTTTTTGCGCACTGATGCCCTGCTGGGGTTGAGGTATTGCAAATTTGCCAAACTAATTCGATATGCATATACATATATTAACCTCACAGATCCTGGCAATTTGTTAATGCATATTTTTGCACAACTGTTTGCAGTTGACTGAGTTGTTTTGCCTTTTTTTAAATTGCCAATAATTTCGCAAGTCAAATTTGTGGTGTAAGATTTTAATTGCCAATAATTTCGCAAGTCAAATTTGAGCTGTTTTAATGGCATTCATTATTTATTCATGTTTTTATTAACTTATGATTATTTGATGTATTTGAGTGGCATTAGGTATTGATATTAAATTAAAATTATATTGCTATTATTTTAAAATTGAATGAGAGAGAACAACGATTGCTTAAACCGATATTTGCACAGATTGACAAAACTATTAAATTAAATTGTTTTATTTTTTTAAAACAGCATTTAATTTAAAAATATTTTTCTCAAAATTTGTATAATTTACGTTTACATAAAACTTGTCTTATAGCATTTTAATTATTAATATTTATTGTAACTGAATTTTTGTATAACTTTCGGCATAATATTAACTTACGAAGGAGGCTGTTTACAAAAAATTCGTCTTATATCAAACATTTTATATCGAACTGTTTAGCAAAAAATAAAGTATTACAAGTATTCGTGTATTCAAAAGTTAATAAATATATATACAATAAAGTTTACATTCTATGCACTTGTTTGCATCTCTGAAGTTATTTTTAAACGTAGTTAGCCTGGAAAAGTTGACTCCAGGTGGGTTGGTTTCCAATATATTCCAAACGACTAAGGCTCTCAGAGCAGTCGTAGATAATAATAAACAGAAAATAGTAAAATTGTTAAAATATATTTGTTTTTCACGGATTGCGATGCCGAGAACTGAAGGAAATTCGTATTCCCGTCGTCGGAATCGTCGGGCTCGTCGAAGTCATACACAAAGACGTGAAGGTTTTAGGTTAAATGGACGCGGGAGCATTTACCATGGAGCAACAACTCCATCGGGCAATATGCCGAATGGAATGATACTCCGATCGCAGGAGAGCCTGGAGATCATACACAACTATTTATATGATTGCGAACGCAATCTGGCCGTTTGCCACGAGCAGCGCACCCAATTGGATCGGATGGTGGAGAACATCTTCTTACACCCACATGCCGCCAGCAATCATCAGATGCAGATGCCCGCTGAGATGCCCCAGCCAGAGATGGACATGACCTATGGGCAACCGAATCAGTTTGGTTTCATGCCGGTTGATCCACAACAACCGGAAAGGGTCAATGCCCCATACAATTTCCAATCAGCCGACGAACTGCCCTCCTTGCTGACCGCCGTAAACTTCGTGGCCGAGTCTCGTGGCGAACAACCGCACGACACAATGGAAGAGCTGATACGCCGCCAGCAAGCAATGGATGCTACCGAGCATGAACTGGCTCTGGTTGGGCCACCGCTAGCCAATCCCCCAATAGTCGAAGGCAGCAATAGGCTAGCTGCCGGCGACGGTGTCTACGTGTTGCCCATATGCTCGGTGCAGTTGAACCGTTCCACTGATTCACGCTTGCTTACTTTTATAGTCGAATTGAATGGCGAACAAAGCCCGCCACGATGATGGCCATCCAGGATACAAAGTTTGGTTCTTACTCATCTTTAAATTTACTTGTTATTTTGTGGCATTTTCCAATAAACGCATTTTCCATTTCGTCTTCAAATGTTATGTAGCAGGGCACTGGTGTATTACTAGTCTGTAACATAACATCTGTCACATAACATGCAACTATGCATTTAACATAAAATATCGATATAGATCGCTATCATTTGTGTGATCACCAGCTTGAAGCAAAAGAGCTGAATCGTTGTGAATAAAGTAAAGTAAATAGACGTGTTTTTGACTGCTACAGTTGGGTTTGGCACATTGTCATTCGCTGATAAGATTTGGAAAGAGAAGATAAGTAAGAGAGAGAGAGTGAAAGAGACAGAGACAGCGAGAGATATTTTGATAAAGACAGATAAAGAAGGAGCGAAATATAGAAATTACATTAAGAATACATAACACAAATAAATTGAATTCCTATATTGAAGAGTAATTAGGAGGAGGTGAGCGAGGATAAGGAGATGGATATAAAGAGAGTTTCTCAGCTAGATGAAATCTAATAAGTAAAATATAGAGAGAGGAAGGGAAACTTGTACAACACTTCATTAGACCGATCAATAATCCCATTAGAGTGTTCTATAAAATAAAGAAAATAAAATAAAATGAAAGAAAGAGCACGCGAGCAATTTCCTATGCACTTGATAAGGCACAAAATTATCAAAAATGTTTTTGTTATTAACACAAAATATCAATAAAACTTTTTAACTGCCACAAATTTGAAATTTGAAAATTAGGCAAAAATTCCGTCAGCACTCGCTTAAGAGATCAAAGCGCCACCTATTAGTCAATAGGTTAACGTCGGTTCAAGTGAGTGGTCGATTGTGGTGGTTGGCCGATGACTTCAGCATGAACTCGTTGCTATCGGTACATTACAGTCGGCGTTGTGGTTTGTGCAACAAGTTAATTGAATTGCCACATAGTTTTTATATAAATTTCTGCAAATTAGCCAAGCATAAGCAGCTTATCGAGAGTTAAGCCAGAGTTTAACATACGATATAGCGAGCCCATATACATATAACACAAAAAAAGCTTGTGTAATGTCAGCATTAAGGTTTCTAAGTGCCGTTGGCCAAATATCCAAACAGCAATTGCTGAACAATAAATGCTCAAGAGGTAATCGGCTAAAAATAAACTAAAGAAATAAAGACGATACATCTTAAAACAGTTTCAAAATATATGATAATTGCTAAGATAGCATAACCAACAAGTATAAATGTTATCATATTGCCCGAAAAGCAGCGGTCGAATAACTGGACTTTGACCTTTGTACTAGACCAATATGCGATAACACCAAACGACTGAGACTTTGCTTGTCTACTATTGGGCATTGATATTAATATTCATTCTTCCATTTGTGTAGCACATCCATTCTCTGCACAACTCCAGCGACGTCTAATGTCTACGAATTTAGCACCGGCTGCGGCTGCTTCTGCCCAGAAGCATCTGCACACCAAAGTCATCGATGGGGTTATGGTGATCAAGATTGATTCACCCAATGTGAAGGTTAATTCGCTGGGCGCAGAGGTGAGCAACGAGTTCGAGAGCGTCATTAAGGATCTAGAGACAAATGCGGCTGTCAAAGCGGCAGTGCTCATTTCGGGCAAACCGGGCTGCTTTGTTGCGGGCGCCGATATTGGCATGCTGGAGGCCTGCAAGTCAGCCGAGGATGCCACACTCATCTCGCACGGTGGTCAGATCTTCTTCGATCGCCTGGAGCGCAGTCGCAAGCCCGTTGTGGCCGCTATTAGCGGTGTCTGCCTGGGTGGCGGCCTCGAATTGGCGCTTGCCTGTCACTATCGCATCGCCACCAAAGACAGCAAGACCAAGCTGGGTCTGCCGGAAGTTATGCTCGGCCTGCTGCCAGGCGGTGGCGGCACTGTGCGCCTGCCCAAGCTGACATCGGTGCCCACTGCCTTGGACATGGGGCTGACAGGCAAACAGATCCGTGCCGATCGTGCCAAGCGTATGGGTATCGTCGATTTGCTCGTCGATCCCGTCGGACCCGGCCAGCAGTCAGCGGCGCAAAACTCCATGGACTATCTGGAGAGGACAGCCATACAAGTAGCCAACGATTTGGCCAGCGGCAAACTGCGCGTAAGTTGCTCAAATTGTTCCGTGTCTGTGTCGATGGAGTATTAATTTTTCTGCACATTCTTGCAGGTCAATCGCGAGAAATCTGGCTTGGTCGATAAGCTGCAGGCGCTCGTCATGGACACGGACTTTGTGAAGAACAAAATCTTTGACACAGCCCGCAAACAGGTGATGAAGGCCACGGGTGGTCTCTATCCAGCGCCCCTCAAGGTGAGTTCACTATATTCCCCGAAAAATGAAAAAGTATATTTATTGTCGGCTAGCATATATAAAATCTTAATTGTTAGTTTCCTTTGAACATATGAACTATATTATAAAATGGTCAGATAAGAGTTTGGCTCCGATATGTGTTTGTTTTTATTGTACAGACAACAAAGAACGGCTATCGCCGGCATGCTTTAGATAAGACATATCCTCGTAGACCGGAATGTGATTGCCGATATTTAAATTTAATTTAGATATATGAAAGCTATCTGATACTAGTAAATAATACTATACGCAAAAATGCCAAATTTGATTATGAGAAATTGTTTAACAAAAAACTGTTTCACTCGTACCAATCATTCCCACGGCAACTATATGATATAGTGCTCCGATCTCTAGGTTCTTTTCTTTTGTCAAAGTTTAAGAATAACAAAAATACGCATATTGGGTAAATTTAGTCAGATTAACTTAAGAAACAAATAAGTTTTTCATACAAGACGTCATCTTCCAAAAAAAAAAAAAAACGAGAACTCATATTTCGACGGAACTATATGATATAATAAACCTATCTAAAACTTCTTAGGACTTATGCTAAACCATTTCTGCTCAACAGATTCTCGAGGTGATTCGCACTGGAGTCGACAAGGGTACCGATGCTGGCTTCGAAGCCGAGCGCAAAGGCTTCGGTGAATTGGCGGCCACACCGCAATCGAAGGGTCTGATGGCGCTTTTCCGTGGGCAGACCGAGTGCAAGAAGAATCGCTTTGGCAACCCACAGCGGGCAGTAGAAACTGTGGGCGTGCTGGGTGCTGGCCTGATGGGCGCCGGCATTGTGCAGGTGTCCGTGGACAAGGGCTACAAGGTGATAATGAAGGATGCTACCGAGCCGGGCCTGGCACGCGGCATTGGCCAGGTGCAGAAGGGACTGGAGACGGCTGTGAAGCGCAAGCGCATCACGGCACTGAAACGCGATCAAGTGATGTCCATGCTGCTGCCCACATTGAACTACAAGGACTTTGAGAAGGCCGACATTGTGATCGAGGCCGTTTTCGAGGACATCCAAATCAAGCATCGTGTGATCAAGGAACTGGAGGCTGTCGTGCCCGAACACTGCATCATTGCCAGCAACACCAGCGCCATACCCATTACACAGATTGCAGCTGGTAGCTCTCGTCCCGATAAAGTGGTTGGCATGCATTATTTCTCGCCGGTGGACAAAATGCAACTGCTGGAGATCATAACGCATCCAGGCACCTCCAAGGATACCGTTGCCCAGGCCGTTGCCGTTGGCCTCAAGCAGGGCAAGGTGGTGATCACGGTGGGAGATGGTCCCGGTTTTTACACCACACGAATTCTCGCCACCATGTTGTCAGAGGCCATAAGGTAAGTCCAAATCATTAATTTGAACTGTGTTTTTGTGCTAATCTTTATGTGTTCCAAAGACTACTGCAAGAGGGCGTGGATCCTAAGGAACTGGACCAGCTCACCAAGAAGTTTGGCTTCCCCGTGGGCGCTGCCACACTGGCCGATGAGGTGGGCATTGATGTGGGATCTCACATTGCTATTGATTTGGCCAAAGCATTCGGCGAACGTTTCAGCGGTGGCAATCAGCAAGTCATGAGCGATCTGGTGTTGGCTGGTTTCCTTGGCCGCAAATCGGGCAAGGGCATTTTCCTGTACGATGGCCAAACCAAGGGTAGCCGCCCCATAAACACCGAGGCACTCGAAATTGTCAAGCAGAAGTATTCTTTAGACTCCAAGGGCGCCAATACGCCCGAGGATATGACCCTGCGCCTGGTGTCGCGCTTCGTGAACGAGGCAGTGCTGTGCCTAGAGGAGAAGATACTGGACAGTCCGTTGGAGGGCGATGTGGGCGCCGTATTCGGCTTGGGCTTCCCCCCATTCACCGGCGGCCCCTTCCGCTGGGTCGATCAGTACGGTGCTGGCAAATTGGTTAGCAAAATGCAGTCATTTGCCGAACTATATGGTGCTCCATTTAAGCCCTCCCAAACTCTGCTCGATATGGCCAAGGATCCGTCCAAGAAATTCTATCCCAAGACTTCTGATGCAAAATTGTAAACGACAATAATCATAATCGATAATTAGCTTTATAGTGAATTTATACCCGTATCACCTTTGCATTTCTTTCACCAATTCGTTAGAGTGAGCATAATTGTGTTTTGAGTTTGATAATAAAGTGTATAATGTAATATTTTCATACATTCATTTGTTTATTATTTGACACGACTGTTTGTTTTGTGCGAGTTTTAGGAATCTCTCGCAGCGTTTTTTCTTTCTTTAAATCTAATCTGCAACGATTTTGTACATCAATTCTATTACTTAGCCTACACACATACGCACTAAGCATAACATCCATTCCTATATATATTTATATATATACATTATTCTATGTAAACACAACATGTAGCAAGTGCAGCAGCCCCAATAGGCCAGTGCCGCATTTCAGTAACTTAATTGCTAGAACTAACACATTGAGCACAACACATGGACAGTGAACAGCAGTAGACACAAGAGTTGTGAAGGAACTGTGCAAATAATTTTCATGATTTCAGTTTTGTTTTGTGTTAAAAAATAATAATTATCGCGCTTCGAAGGAAAAAAATGCATCTGGACTTTCAAAAATGAGCAAAATAGTATTATACAAATCATTATTAGCTATCACAAAAGTCTGCGCTTAAAATAAGTTCATTTTAGTAGATCAAATGTATCATTGAAAGTACATTTTTTTTAAATTAATTAGGATTTTATAATGTTTTAAGTTGCTTGAAACCAGATACTAATCACTTTTTACATAAATCGTGAAATATTTGTGTTTAAAAAACTGTACAAAGAATAAATTATTAAAAAAATGAATGAATCAATGTTGGAAAATATTTAGCATTTAAAAAGTATCTTTAAAAATTAAACTTGTGCCACTTTTTACTTTTAAAAAAATATTTTTTAACATTCATAATATATGCTATATATATATATATATATTTCTTTTTTGGTATTCGCTTCGTTATCATTTGTAGTCTTCACAGCTATTTCACAACTCTTAACATCCAACTAGTTCAACTTAATCTAAGTTATGGTATCAAAATTTACTTGCGCCAATCCCGTCCAGAACTGCGACGCTGTTGCCTGACCACTGGGCTGTTACCAGCAACACCAGCAGCGGATGCGGTGCTGCTCGCACCGCTTCCATTGGCCAGTCCACCGTTGTAGCGATCCTGGGCGGGATAACGATCCACAACATCATCAATGAGCTCGAGTATGCCAATTTTGAACTTGCGACGCTGCTGCGGCGTCAAAGCTGCAATATCCGGCAGAATGCTGCGAAAGAACTCCATGTCCGTGTGCTCGGTAACGCTAAGGTTACCAAAGTAGCCACTGCTCGTTGTGGTTGCCTCGCACTCGGTCTTGATCCGCTTGGCGCTGCAGGGCTCAAGGTGCGTCTGTTGCTGCTGCTGTTGCTGATGCAGCGAATGGTTGTGGAAATGTGACGCCTGATGATGCAGTGGCGTTGAGCAAGCATCGTTGTATATCAAATCCTGACCAGACTCGGCCAGCTGCACATCGGGTATGAAATTCTGTAGACTATTGGCGCTGGCCGTTTCACTATGTGCCGGCGATCCTGGAGTTGTCATCGCATTGCCACCAGGTGTGCTGGCTGCGTGTTGCAGGCCCAATTGTGCAGCTATGGCGGGATCGAAAGCATCAATTGTCTCCTCATCATCGTTCTCAGAGAGCGACTGCTTCAGCTCAAGCGATTCATTCTTTAGACCAATGGTATTGTTATTATTATTGTTGTGGTTGTTGTTGTTGTTGTTATTATTGCAGTACAAATGCTCCTGCTGATGTTGCTGATGCTGTTGGAAATGCAAATGTTGCTGGGAGAACTTGTATAGCGATGCGAGACTATTGTTGCCATCCAGTGAGTTCCTTGTCGACTTCAGGAATGGTAGCAGAAATGCCATGTGCTCCGTGAGATAGTATGGCTTGTGTTGTGGCTCGGAACCACTCTGCTGTTTAATGTAACGCGAGAGGCAGGCGCGCAGATTCCTCCAACGCTCCTTGCAGTGAATAACTAAAAAGGAAATAGTAAAAATGGGAAGGTTCATCAACTGACCCGTAGAAGATGACTTCTTTAGCTACTTACCACTCTCACGTGTGTCCTCGGAAATCAGCGACCAGGCCTTCTCCTGGTTGTCTCTGCAAAGTAAGAAGACAAAGCTAAAGTATTTGTACATAAGTAGAGAAGTAGAAAGAAGAAACGCTGTCTTTCCACAAAAAAAAAAAAATGGAAAAAGTTTTGCAAACTAAGTGAAAATCTGTTAAAAATATTTATATTAGACAAAGTTTTTCCCATGAAATTTTAAGTTAAATTTTTATTTGATTTTACTATAAATAAGTATAAATATATTCTATATTCAAATTTAAAATTGATCTTTAAAATAAAACGATTTTACAAACTTAAAATGTGTTTATTTGTATTTATTTTTTCCCAAAATTGAAATACATAAACCAGGCTTAAATGGCAATTAGCAAGGGAAAGTAAGTCTAAAAAAAAAAACCTAATTCAAGTACAAAATTCTATTAATAATCCCGAATATTAAATTATTAATTGAGAGCGAAAAAATAAATGTAATTTATCAACAAAACTTAAATGTAATCTTGATAAGCCTAAAATTCTAAGGAATCGTGAATAGTCAAAACTATATCCTATATACATATATAGTTTTTTTTTTCGTTGAGTAGTAGAAACTCACCTGTTGCGATACTCGGGCACTTTCTTGTCGTATAGACAACGATGCGTGCGCACTAAATTCACGAATCGTATGTTGAAATCCTCGTCCGCTTGCATCACACGATTGGTAGATCCTATATTGACCGCCGTTGTCGATGTGGCACCCGGACTGTTGCCGTTGTATAAAGTTGCTGTGGATGTTGCCCGATGGTTGTGCTCGGTTTTAATGCTGCTGCTGCTGCTGCTGGTGTTGGCAGCGTTGCTTGTGCCATTGCTGCTGTTGGGCGTCGAGGTGGTCATATTTGCTTCACTGTCTCGTCTTACTGTTATTGTTGATATTGTTGCAGCCTGTTAATTACATAGGATGCAATCAGTTGGCTGTTTAATGTTGCAATACGACTGATGTTGTTGCTGCCTTTATTGCTGTTTCTGTTGACAGCCCCACTGATAACAACGGCAACTGCAGTCAGAACAACAAGAGAAAAGTTTGCTCAATTCGATTTTGTGCTCTGTTTCATGGCTTGTGTATGTGTTGGTGTTGCTGCCGTCTCAGCAACAACAACAATGACAACAGCAGCAGCAGCAGGCGACGTCAATGGAGCTTTTTGCAATTGGTGCTTTTTTGCTGCTGCTGCTGCTGCTGTTGTTGTCATAACTATGTATATATTTTGTGAGACCTAATAAAACAGTATGAGCTCTTTGTTGTTGTTGTTATTGCTGTTGTTGCTGTTGTTTTTAGCATTTATTTTTTGTGAGCGGTTTCGTGACATTTTTGTGGACGACGTCAACAATGACAACGACATTAGCAACATTGTTGACTTTTCATATTATTATAGCCACAATAACAAAAATAACAGTCATAAAATAATAAGAATAAAAGGCAATTTTGCTGTATATATATATATATATGTGTATATATGTATGTGTGTATGTATGTACTTGTTGCTTTTATTGTAACAACTTCTTGTCATGCACACGTAGAAAAATACATATATATATGTATATGTATATGTTTTGATAACAACCACAGCGCTGCCAGCTGCCAGTGTATTAAGATTCACAGCAATTTCGAATCATTCAGCAAATGATTCGATTAATGATTCACATGGCATACTATCGAAAGCTTAACTGGCCCACTGTCTGGCTGCCTGTTATTGCAACTGCTTAGCTGAATGTTGTTGTTGTTGCGACTACCTGTTTTGATTCTAATCAACCCACTCAGATTTGCACTGCTCTCTCTCTCGTTCGTTTACTCTCCCTCTCTCCCCTCTTCTACACCGTTCTCAATTTTCATCAATCGCATTGATTCTCTCTCTCTCTCTCTCTGTCGCTCTTCCTCTATTTTACTCTCGTTTGAGACTGTCGCTAAAATCTTTTACAAATTTTCCCGCCACTTTGAGCACCTTGCGTTAAGACCACCAGTTTTGCACAATAACAACGTGCGCACAGTGGGCTGAGTGACTATGACAATATGTCGATCAAAATCTGATATTGAATTCAAATTTAATTGTATATAGCAATATTTTCAATCAATTAACACTATGTACATTTGTATAATATTTATTTACCTATCAATTTAAATAACCAAAACGCTTTTCAAATAATAACAAATACGAATGTATTTTTTTAAAACTAATATTGAATTTTTTTTAATTGAAACAAATTTGAAAATACAATTTTGAGTATATTGAGAAATCGAAAGTTTTGCACTAGATTCTGCCCAGTGTGCCACAGTTGTTATGTTGTTTTTGTCATCATCATTATTATCAACATTGCCAACTTCATTATCATCTTATACGCTGCGCGCGTGTTTCAGTTCTGGCTGTTGTTGTTATCGTTATTGTTGTCGTTGTTGTAGTTGCTGTTGACGTTGCTTTTGTTATTGCCATTGCTGCTTGTGCTGCTGCTGCTGTCGCTGTCGCTGTCGTATGTTCTGTATTATTCGTCATTTGTTTTTGTTGTTTTCGTTAGTTTTGTTTGTTCGCCTTTAACAGTTGCCAGCGTCGCTGACGCAGCAGCAGCCGCAGCAGCAGCAGAATAGCGAGACTTTGTTTTGTTGTTGTAGCTTCTGCTGCCTGCTTGCTGATTTAGTGTTGTTGTACCGCCTGCGCAATGCTAGTTGTTGTTGTTGTTGTTATTGCTGCTTCTGTTGTACTTATTGTATTGGCAAGTAGAGATGGCAAACAAAAAACTACCCAGCAATATTAATTGTATTTTGTCGATTAACATAAAATTCGTTATATGTAAGTATGTACATGTGTATTTAGTATGTCTCTGTATATGTATATGTATATATATATAACAATATACATATACATAGATGTATTTATTCAGCAACAATAGCAACAGCACACAAAAAGTACAGCAACGTGCAAAACAAGAAAACACAAAACAAAAAAACAAAAAAAAAGAATATTTCTAAAGCTAACAAAACACACAAAACTTGCAGAAATACCCGGCTATCCCCCGGCCCCAAACACCGCTGCCCCTGTCCAATGACAGCAGCAGCAGCAGCAGCAACGAAACCAAAGGCAATAACTTTGTTAGATAGAACAACAACAACAACAAAAACAACAACAACAACATGGCAAAGCATCAGCAGCAGCAGCAGCAACAAAAGGCACAAACACACACATACACACACATTCACAGCGACCACATTGGCACACAAACAGTTACACTATGCCATATAGAATTTTTCTTGTTGGTGAATTGTTGTTGCTTATCTGGCCAAAGGCATTGTTATTGTTATTTTTGTTGTTGTTGTTGCTGTTGCTGTGGTGGTTTTTATTTTATTATTTCGAAAACAATTTCATTTTCCAGTCGAACATTTTTTGTTTTTGTTTATTTTACCTGTTCTCGGCTGTTTACGGCGTCCAGTGTGAACGTTTGAACAGAAAAACCGTTTACGAGCAAAAATTGAAAGCGCGGTTATTTTTTTTAAAGCCACTGCCAGTGCTGCACTGAAAAACGGCGCCAAAAAGTGTCCGATGCGGTGACGACTGCAACTGCGACTGTGACGGCGACGGCAACGGCAACTGTGACGGCAACGGCGACTGTGACAAGAAACAACAGCGACGGACTGACGTAACGTACAAAAAGTTGCAATTTCAATTTCGTTTTCTGTTGTCGTATGTTTCACGTTTCAAGCGACGAAAGCGACTAAACACACTCGGATACTCAGTATCTATCAGCTACAGTAGAACACAACAACAAAATCAGCAGCAGCAGCAGCAGCAGCAGTTGAAGCAGCAGTCGAAGCAGTGGCAGGCAGGCAAGCAGCGTTCGAGACGTACAGTGGGTCGCAAATAATTTTATTGCTGCATAAATTGTATACCATGTTTTTAGAAAAATATGTTAAAAATAATACAATATTAAGCAATGACTAAAATGCTAGTTAAATTTGCTCAATTAATAACACTTCTTATGTATCTAAACTTTATTTTACTACCTGCAATTTTTAATCAAATTCAATAATAAACACTATATTTTTATTATTTATTATGCTAATTACAATGTTTTGATAAGTGAGTAAGTTTTTGCTACTGCTTCGAACTTTTACTTTTCAATTCACATGTATTGTATTTGTTCTACTGTGCGACGACTACAGCAAACAGAGAACAACGCACAAAACGCTGCTCTTTCTCTCTCTCGCTCACTCGCATAAGCACACACAATACACCCATACACACACATACAGCTGGCAACAACAAGAGCACAACTTTTGTTATTGTTGTTGTTGCTGCGGGCGAACAACAAATAATACAAACAATACACACACACACACAAAACACACACTCACAGAAGCAGGCACACAGGCAGAGAAACAACAGCAGAGCAACGGCAACTGCGCGCTACAAAATGCAAAGAGACAGAGACACAAAGCAGAAACGACGAAACCGACGACGTCGACGACGGACTAACAAAAATTTGACTCACTGTGGTCCCGGCTCAAAATAAATGTAACCGAATTACGCTCACAAAATATTAGCTAATGATGATTACTGTTACTATTTTTGAATTCATTTACATTAGCGAAAAGTTTAAATAATTAATATTGTATTTTGAAAAATGATTTTTATTAATAAATTTTATTTTGAATTATTATATGCTCATATATTGTTTATTATACTTTTTGGTACCAATTTGGGGCCCGTTACGCAGCACTATTTTCTTACTCTATTCGCTGTTGCCTGCTTGCAACCACAAGATTTGACTATATCCTGTATTAAATACTATCAATCCTAGTCCAATGTGCATTTCCCATGTGAGTCAGTATGTGTGTGTGTGTGAGTGTGTGTGCTCACATCCACCTAAAATGGGTTTCTAACTCTCAGTGAACATTGAAACAGCGACAGTTGCTCAGCAGCGGCAGCAACTGCTCTCAAAATAAACAAAATGCAAAGCAAACAAAAATACACGCAAAATATTTTCGTGCTGTATTTGTTGTTGTTGCTCTTTCTTTAATAAAAGCTCTTGCTGCTTGCTGTTCTGCTCTGCCCAAAGTTTGTTATCATTGTTGCTGTGTTACGGGCTGCAAAGCTTTTGTCCAATAGTTGTTTACATTGTGTTAGGTACGGTATGGGGAGGGGGTAAAGGAGCTTTCGCACATTTTATTTGATAGGGGGCGCTTTTCCAAAAGAAATTCTTATTTAAAAGAACAAAGCCTTTGTCCAGATGAATGCTTGGAAGAAATGATAAAAGTACAAAATAATAAGAAAGTATCATATATATTCCATCGATTAATTACTGTCAATATCTGATGGAGTTGCGTACATACTTGTTGCTCAAATCATTAATGTAAATATAACATAAAATATTTCAAAATTATTACATTATCACTGAAAGCCATTGAAGACGAAGCTTTAGCAAAAGCTTACGTCAAGCACACACACACACACACACACCACTAAGTGAATCTGAGTTACCATTCCATCAAATGATAAGCGGCGCTTTCGATACGGTTTAATGATTTGTTTACAACTATGTCGCCGTGCAATTTACCGCAAGCATACGTTACAGCTTTTCCTGTCCACTCCACCTCTCCCGCACACACTTTGCTAACATTTCCTGAAAGCTCCATCTGCTGCGTGCGTGCGCGCAAAAATTCAATAAAAAGGAGGCTCGTTTCTGTTTTGGCCTACATGCACAGGCACGAACAGACAGAGCCGAGAGCCGAGGGCCGACGAAGGCCGATCCAAAACTTGGTCAGCAGTGGAAGCTTCAAGTGCAATCGTTTCGTCGGCGCTTTAAAGCTAACAAACTTTTGTGGCCTGCCTTCAGTTGGCAAAGGACGGTTGAGATTGACACTGGTCCTGCGGGCGCCTAAAAGCACACAACAATTTTTTCGTTGTTGCTGTGTCAGTTACGCGCTGTGTGTGTTCGCATGGTGTGATTGTGTGGCAATGTGTGTGTATGTCTATGTGCATTCAAATATTTGTCATGAATTATTAAGAGCAGTGAACTGGAAAATATGAAATTTAGTCGAACAAAGAGGAACCAACAACTAAAGAATAAAAAACGTAAGCCAAAAAGTTTCCCCCACCAACAAAGACTTTTCTGTGGCCATTGCAATCCAGCTTCGTTCAGTGCAAATGCATTTCAAAGGCGCATTTTCCACTTTCTCTCCCACGCTCTCACTCTCCTCATGTCGCGCTCTCTCTCTCTCAGCTGGCACCCTCGGCAGTTCTCTTTTACAGTGTAGAGTTTCGATTTCGTTAGAAAATCGAAACAAACTGTGGGGTAGAGCGGGTCAGTGTTTATGGGTATCCGTGCTGCGGCTACCTGTAGATGTCACACACACAAACACACACACACACACTCACACAAGCATGCAAACACGCACACATATAAAACCTGTCCATGTGTCTGAGTGGCGGTGGCCTGGCGAGTCCTTGAAGAGGGTTTTTATTGTTAAAACATCATAGTTGTCGCCGCACCCCGCAGCCACCTCCAACTTTCGTTTCCGAATGTAATTAATCTATAATTCAAGGTCCAATGCGTCCGTCACGAAGGTTAAACATGACGAACTGCCTCCCCTGCATTAACTTGAGCTTAACTCGAGGCATTCCCAACAATTTCCATAGCAAATTCATTAGGCGAACAGCTGCAAAAGTTTTTTCGAAATTTATATGCGCCTTTGGCCAGACTGACTTGCAAATCAAACAAGTTGTAAACTAACGCCTTTGAATATTCTGCTAAAATAGTTCGTTTTGGCTGTTACTCAAGCAACGATATAACGATATATAAAATTGGTATAATATATGTAAAATTTTAAAGTCAATTAATACTTAAAAAATGAAGAAAAACATATGTTATTGTCTTTAGAATATTATTTTACTGCTTATTTGATTGACGTTATACGCATCGTTTCAAGTTGTTTACAGAGAAACTCGAGCTGTAAAGTAAAACTTGAGAATAAACTCAAGTTGTTCTGTTTACAAAGGGGTCTCCTTTTTTCCCAACAAGAGATTCAATATTCATTCACTGCTCAAAATTCAAGCCCCCATAACGAGCAGCGAAGTAGAAAATTGAAGAAATTGTCCTGGTGCTCTACAAAAAAAAAACACATTCTCAAGAGTCCTTAGACGCCCATCGTCTATATTTCATGCTGGTCAAATATGTATGTATATAAATACGTAATTGTGATTCCACGTACACGCACACATACAAAGAGGCAGCCGCAATATTTAAATTCCTGACAAAGCTCTGTGAAAGAAATCCTGCCCTTCGCAGACATAACCGCAACTATGAGCGCTAAACATTAGGAAAACGTCCCCTACCATCCCCCTCCCCCTCAAATATCTCCGGCAAACATTTGCTTTCTTTCTAACACACACACGTACGCACACAAGCATTTGGCGTTTTAAACAACCGTATTACGCATACGCCATATTGGTATTGAGGCAGTCTGGCAACTTTGGTGCGCGCCATAACAAAAACAAATAAACAAACAAAGAACTGAAGAAGAAAAAGCTTTTCATTGCTGGCCATTAGCGCTCGCAACGCTCTCACTCACACTCTCTAACCCATTCTCTCTTCCACTCTCCCTCTCTCTCTCTCTCCCTCTCTCTCTCTCTCTCTGTCTTTCGTCATCTCTCTCTTAAAGTATTGCCTCCTTGCAGTTGAACAAAAATATTACACGAGAGTTTCTTCTTTTCTTTTTTTCGGGGTTTTTCCTGCGCTGCGTCGCTGTCACAGCAGACAGCAACATTTTCGCTTGAGTAGAAAATTTCAATGATTTTCGGTCGCTTAGTGTGAAACGAACCAACAACCCAAACGAAACGAACGCGCGCGTAAAATACCAAAAAAGAATAATACAAAACACAACTAGGGAAAAATTTTACAAAGAAACACGCATACAATACAATTAACTTAACTTCGCCCCATCCGCTGAAAGCTGATGCCAAAATTCATCTATATTATAAACAAAAAATGTTCGATATTCGTAGAAAAATTAACAATAATTCAGAGAAATTCACATTTGTTAAGCGATTGCATTGAGCATTGAGCGAACCAACCAATAACAAAAGAATCCACAAGTAGCTGATGAGCGAATGAGCAAAATATAAATAAATACCTTTAGAGATACATATGTGAGTACCCCCTCTACACCGAACATATTCGAATTCTGAATCTCGCATCCACTAAAAATATACTTATGTACGTACAAACGCGACAATTGGATTGCATTTGACATTGGATGAGCTGTAAAACGTGTGACATGTCTATTTATTTATTTATTTTTTATGGCTTTCGGGAATGATAGCCATTGAAGTTGGCGGTATTTTCTGTGACCCATTTGTAACGTTGAGTGTATTTCATTCACATCAAGTCGAAGAGGTTGTTGTTTCTAAAAACAAAGTTTCGTATTGTGTTCTTATGCGATCTTAATCTCGGTTAGTGTGCTTAAAGTAATTTCTAATATCATTTAACTTTTGTTGATCTTGAGAGTGTGTTGAATAAGTTAGAAATGTGTTCAAGTTGCGTTTTATTTTATAAAAACGTTAAGCTGAATGTATATTGGCGTAAGAAAGCAATTCAATGCCGCTTTCCCTAAAATTTTTAAGAAGCGAATCGTTAAAAATGTGTATTCATATTTATTTTATTTTATTTTTTTTTATTTAGATAAACAATTTTTCCAACAAGTTTAAATTCCCCAGTATTTAAACAATTGCTGCCTTTTAAATTAAATTAATAATTGCATCC